GGGAAGAACAGAATTTTCTTACATCATCCACAGATTGGGGAGGAACAGAATTTTCTTGCATCATCCACAGATTCTGACCTGGAGTCAAGTTCACCTTCATAGTTGAGCAAATGAGTCCCTTGGCTGCAGAGCAGAACAACTTTATTAGCTGAGCTGTGCAATTTGTCTTTCTCTGCCTCATGTCTTACTTTCCTGGATGGTAGGTATAACATAAAGCTTTTTTTTTTTTTTTTAATATCCCCAAGCTTGGCAGTCTTGGGACAACTCTGATGCCTTATATTTCTCTCTTATAGTCCATTCTTTCTCTGCACAACAAGCAAAGAGACTTGCATATTTCCTAAACATATAATTATGTTTCACTTGCCAAGATTCCCTGACCTTACTTTTGGCCTAAGGTGTTTCTAGCTATGTGTAATATTTCAGTGCTTTCACGAAACTTCTTGGCTACCAGCTCAAAAGCAGCAAATTTTAATTTAGAAGAGGTCCTTAACCTAAAGAAAGACATTGATGCTATTTCTATCTCAATGCAGGCTTCGAATTCCTCAGACGTGCTCTCGCTTTGCTGGGCTATTTAGTTTTTATTAGGGTGCTGTAGCTACAACTCAGAGATCTAGAGAGACAGTGGAGGTCAAAGATAACTTTACATTTTCTATATTTCCAATTGCACATGGAAGCCAGGCCTTCTGGACTCAGGTGGCTGTACAAAGATGGGCCCCGTCCATGTCTCGAACATTCTGCTTCACAGAGGCACATGAGGAGTTTGCAGATTTGGGATTTGTTTGTTGGATTTTAAGGATTTTATATGTTTGTTCTGAGTTTGTGGGTTATTTCTGCCTTTCTTGCCCCTCCTCTGCCCCCCGCCTTTTCTTTATGTATAACGAGCTCTTTGTCTGGGTCCCAGAGAACTCTGGTGCTCCTAGTAGCGTCTTCCAGGGAGGACTGGAGCCATGGGGCAGCTATCAATTTTCTACTTAAAATGTTTCCCTCAGGGAAGAAATTACTTACCAACCTATCATATTATCAGCTTTTTCCTGCTCTTCCATTCCTGTTTACCTAAGCATGCAAGGGGAAAAAAAGCTCTTTCTTTACAACTGAGGTTTCAGAGAAGACTTTAACATCTGACCATTAACATCCAGATGAATGGTGTTGACAGCAACACGCTTTCCAATAGCTCCTCCATTTTGTTATTTTGGCAAAGAACAAAAATGAGTATTGTTTTACCCATTTATCTAATTAGTGAATATGGTAAGAGTCCAGTTTGGATGAATAAATAAGTCCAGAGCTATGTTTCTTCCCTCTATCCTGTACCTGAAGCCACTATCCTGAGGTCTGAAAGCTTCACTGTTGGCAAAGAAAACATGGTTTTTGTTTTTTACTTTTCTGTTTTCACTAACAAAGGAAAAGAAAAGAAGACAGTATAAAGTAATCAAACAAGACGGTGTGTGTGTGTGTGTTTAGGCGTGTGTATCCAGGGAGGGCTATCTTGGGGGTTTCTCATAAGATATCAGTACATCCTGCCCTTATAGTGCCATAAATTTACGGGGTCTTCTGAACTCCCTACAAAAAGACTTGGGTTGACAGTGACTTGAGAGGAGGTTACGTTGGGTCCAGCCCTAGGAGAAGCAACACAGGGGAGCTGGAGCTTCCCTTGAATTCCAATCCACCAAGGGAGCCAGGCAGTCTAATTTGACTCTCCCCACACTGGGTTCTGTAGGGTACCTTTCATGTCCTATAACACTGGTCTATGAGCACAGGTGCAAGGAGACCTAGGGTCTGTCCGACTAACGATGAGCCCAAGGTAATGGATTAATTACCCAGGTCCTGCAGACTATGACCATGACCACAGAAAATCCCCATGAAGGCTTTTCACAAACTAACAGATTCTAGTAAAACTCTTATTTTGACACAGCCAGATTCTAACCTTGTATCTTTCAGTAAATCACGCTTAAAGAACCGTGTCAAACTGCTGGGAAGTGGTTATGATTTTAAAAGTTTTAAGACTGTTACGAAAGTGTCTAAGACAACTATTTCCATGATTCAAGTGTTTAAGCAGGCATTCCCATGGCTTTCCTTTAGTTTTCCATACAACAAGCATGCCATGACACCACCCTACACACAGAGCCGTAGGGAAACAGCAATATTTACAAATCCATTTATTCAGTGTAATAGTCACTAGAGTTTGGACTAGGACAAGAAGTGGACAAGATTTATTTAATAATTAGTTTTACGTGCTTTGTAGTCATTCAGCTTTTTCAAGGATTTCTTTTAAAATTATTCCACATGTGGGCAATGGAATATAGTTTGAGAGCAAATAACAGCCATAGATAAGCAACTGGTTATTGTTTCTTGGGCTGTTCTATGAGAGACCAAGTTTATGTCATCCAATGCAATTCACGGGAGCGCAAACACACACATTTGACACATTGTGAAAGGTACCGCTAGGAATGAATCTCAAGTTCGCTGCTTGTCAAACTGCAGTCTTGCAGGTTGTCCTGTAAGATTAAGGGCTCTTCACCAAAACATCGCTCTGAGGGAGAAGAAGGGAGCCAAAAACCACTAAAGGCATGGCGTTAGTGGACAAGAACAAAATCTTTATTGTACTATTTTCATCCATACTGGGGGAAAAGAAAAAGAGGAAAAAGTAGGCACCTCAGAGTGAATGATTATGCGGCCAGTAAAGAACACAGAGATCATCGAGGGAAAAAAGGACTGTTGCTGCTTTTGAAATAAAACCCGCTTTGCTGTGGAGGCTGCCACTGCGGGGCTCTGAATAAGAGCTATGCAGGAGGATGCCCTGACTGTAGAAGAAAGGAAGGTACCGCACAATCCTTCGGGACCTGCATGTTTCAACAAAGAGAAGCAGCAGGTTCAGAGGGCTGCTAAGTGAACAAAAGGGTCGTAATCAAGAAGGATGGTGTATCAAAGGCTTCATCTCTATCCTGTGGACTGCCTCTGCACGCGGCTGATCCTGTGATTCCAGCTGTCCTTTGGATCCACAACAATGGCTTGGGGCCACGTCAACTGAGGGACAATCGACTGCTGAGGCTGCCAAATCATACCGACGGGCAGTGTAAGGGTCTATTTATTTCGCGCCTATAGATATGGACCCAGTGTCTCCGGCAATCTTAAGATAAAGATGGTTTCTCCTGCTCAATATGGGAGGACCACATGCTTCCAAATAACCACTGCTCATTACGAGACCCCATGAAAAACGACAGTCGAAAAGTCAATAAGGATTTTTAATTTGCTTTTCTAAGTTATATATTCTGTTTTATCAAGTTCAAGTGTCATTATTGCACCTTTCTATGATAAAGCAGTGGAAATTATTAGGAAGAAAATGATATTTTATTCTGAGGAGAGTTAAGTTATAAATTACTTTTAAGGATCTGTTGAAAGAAAAATAGTGATTTATTTCTTTCCACTCCCTCTCTCTCACCCCAAACCAAACAAAAACACCTCAAAGAGGAGATGAAAGAAGAAAAATGCTTTTACGTCCAGAAACTGTCCACCCCTGGAAGAAACAATAGCACACGCATGAAGAGGTTATCTCTCCATTTTGGGAAACCACAACGAAAGGTAGACGATAGGAGTCTAGGGTCACTCTAAGAGTCATCGTACTGTATGCTCATCCTGTGGGGTTGTAGGCTTTATTTTTGAAGCCCTACTGTCAGCTTAATGGCAAATCCATGCTTTGCTTTCTAAGGTTTCTTTTTTTTTTTTTTGCTCTCTTTTTCTTTTTTAAACTAAACTCAATCCCATTAAAAAGAAAACCTGGCTTATTTCAAACAACCTGTAAATATTTCATATCATGCTAAGGGAAACCTCAAACAACAGAAAACTATGAAAATGTTACCAAGGTTATGTAATCAATGCTTTAAGAACCTCCAAAGGGAAAAAATGGCAAACATGTACACATTACACTTCTGGGTTCAAGAGGAGAGGGTTATAGTTTACAAAACAGTATTGTGTTTTAAAAATCTATCACTGTTGGGGCTGGCCTGGTGGCGTGGTGGTTGTTTGCATGCTCTGCTTCAGCAGCCCAGGGTTCCTGGGTTCAGACCCATACCATTCATTAAGCCATGCTGTGGCGGGGTCCCACATATAAAATAGAGGAAGATTGGCACAGATGTTAGCTCAGCGATAATCTTCCTCAAGCAAAAAGAGGAAGATTGGCAACAGATGTTAGCTCAGGGCCAATCTTCCTCACCAAAAAATAAATAAATAAATCTGTCACTCTTTACTTCCATCCTTTTCCCTTTGAACGTGCATCTCAACCTCAGTTGCTAATGAACTGGCATACATTAAGAGATCAGATTTCCTCTTTATAAACTTTGGATGGTAGGGACATCCCAAATGCATTTTCTCTTCCATCTTCTCATTTGGATTTTGGGGAGGGAAAGCATTCTAATTCGATTTTCCACCATATTCTCTCACCTGGTGTAATGGTAAATGATGTAACAAATTCAAAATTCCTACAGTAAAGGACTTTCTTTTCTTACCACGTTAAATACAGTCATGAGTCGCTTAAGAATGGGGATATGTTCTGAGTAAAGTGCCGTTAGGCAATTTCGTCACTATGCAAACATCATGGAGTGTACTTACACACACCTAAATGGTATAGCCTACTGCATACCTAAGCTACATGGTACTAGTCTAATGGGACCACCGTCATATATGCAGTCTGTCGTTGAGTGAAACATCAGTGTGTGGAGCACGACTGATATATATAGATAGTCCATAAACTATAATTGTTAACATTATTTGCATAGAAAATTATTACAGGTTATTAGGGGATATATTAGACAGAGCGATGGAGAGAGGCAGGGAGGGCAGGCCTAATAGCAATATTGTTTGCTAGTTATTAAATTACTACTACTTGAGTGGTACTGATCCCATGCTATGAAATGTAATATAATCTTGCCATTGGTATGACAGATACTATGGCACCTAAAAGCATTTTGGTTTGGCCACAGCCCACTCTGATGATCAAAAGCACGAAGTGCAGAATGCTCTTTACTAGGAGATAACAGCTAATTTAATAACAAACTCTTCTCACTAATGTTGCTCTTCACATCCGAGCCAATTCAGTCTAGTTCCAGCGATGGTTGTGCAGGATGATTCCTCTGCCCTGGATGAAGATACACACTTGTCAATCAAACAAGACTGCCATCCACTAAGATACTACTTTAACAGCCACGTGGATGTGGCCCCCTAAAGAGAAGCTGGTCTTCTTTGTGGACTCTCAGGGCTAAGGGTAGTCAGGGGGCCTCCCCAGCATCCTTTGCCCACTGTGCTCTCACCTCCCTGCGGCGATGTGTCCTGCAGGGTTAACACCTTCTCCTCACCAGGGAGCACCTCAATGGTACCCAAATCACCCTGAGTTTTTTCCCTTAAGTGAGATCACCTCACACAAAAGGCATGGCTTTGCATATTTTCTTTCACCAGAAAATGATTTCTCACCCAACCACAAGAGAAATGGTTATTCAAGGCTGTCAGTTTCCCAGCATCTACATTCCAACCAGTTGACAAACCCAAACAGCAAGTCCGTGCCACTAGTAATTCCCTCCCTGACATGGGTCCAGATTCAGCTTTCCAGAGGAGCTGCCTTCCTCTCTGGGCAGGGGAGGGGGCCGCTCTGGTGGCACAGTCAAGCATCGGCATCTTCCTGCCACTCACCCTGAGCTAAGTGTGTACAAGGTATTGTGCTCAGGAAGAAACTAATGACCTCAGTTTGTGGTCCCCCCATTTAGAGGGACAGAGGCACTTCAGCTGACAGAAGATGGGGGACACCTGCACGAGGCTTGAGCAGATCGTATTTGTTATGCAGCTCCTGTTTTCAGGCATCCATTCACTGCATCCATTGATTTCATTCAGGTCCTTCTGAGGCTCCTCCTCTGCACTGAGTGCTCTTGGAAGGGGAGCCAGGAGGCAGGCACAGTAGGTGGAGTCACATACCAGCCCCGCCCTCAGGGGTTCGTGGTTAGATGGGGAGACAGATGTGTAAATACGGAGAGGTGATGGACTGTGGAGATGCGTCGAGCACAGCACCCGGAAGGGTGGAACGAATGTGACTCCCCCCGCCTCCTCTGGAGCCGGCTGCCACAAAAAGGCAAGAAATTCATCACGGCAGAAACCCGGGGAACCTAATCTGAAACTGATGAATGCTTGGAAGGGAAAAAGAAAATCTTTAAAAAAAAAAGACACCTGATTTATGAAAAGGTGCTGAAAAGCAAAGGAGACTGCAGTGTCTGCCAGAAGATACAGCCAATGAAAGCCCAGAGAACCCACACTGAGGGCTTTCTTCACCTGATGATTAGATTTTAAAGAAAGTAATACTCTGCCCGCATTGATAAGGAGAAACAACTGCAAGGCACTCAGTGTTCAGGGGAGGGCGGGGGGCGGGGCGGTGCAGGGTGAGAGTGGGCCCAGCATTTTTGGGAAGGCAGAGCCATAGATTATGAATGTTTAAGGAAGGAGAGAGCTGTGTGTGTAAGGACAGAATTCCAGGAGGACCAGGGTGGAAGCTGCAAATGACATGGAACCCTGCTAAGCCTGTGCTGTGACCACACCTGAGTGCTGAAAGGGAGCACCTGTCATGACAGAGAGGGCCCTCAGACAGGGGAGCAGAGGCGGCTCAGGACACAGAAACACCCAGAGAAGGGGCGGCTGTCCTCTGGCTGTGGTCCATTGAGCCCAGCACAGATCACGGACAGTAGGCTCCCAGCAGCTCTGAGCCTCGCCACCTCTCCGCTCTCCACCTCATTTCCATAACCCCAAGGTGGGACTCCACGGGCCCCTGCTGAGAAGCACCATGTAGGCGTGGAAGGGAGATGGAGTTCCCCGGGGGGAGGGGGCTAAGGGCGGCCAGGCCAGCGGGCTCTCATGTCCTCTAAAGAGGTCCACTGGTGGCGGCCTCCCACTTCTTCTGGGCAGCATTACCCTACATGCACCTGGATTGTGGAACAACTGTTAGATTTAATGAGAACATACTTTACAATTTGTGAAGGGCTCTACACATGTGAAGTGTGCACCAGGCAGGGGAAAGGGCAATATTCATTGTGTTGTTTTCTGACACAAGATTGCCCACTTCTGCTGAATGAAAAAGAAAATAAACCAGGTTAAGAATTTTACCCTCAACCTAAGGCAAATGTCTTACACTGGAGATGACAAGGTCGAGTCTCAAAACAAAAAACAAAAAAGGAATGTAAGTCGATGTAACATATATATTAGAGATATTCCTTTTACAATATGGATATGGTCTGATTACAAATTCTCATCTAAATGTTGAGCTTCCTGGTAGCTTATGGGTCTCCTATTATTAAAAGTCACCTTCTGTATTATTTTTCAAGAAGATATCAATGGGACAGAGGCACAGGTAAGCCTAAATCAATAGATACAGGTAGGCGTTTTTAAATTTTACCCTCACTGGAAAACACAGCAATAATACACTTAAAAACAGAATCTGAATGCCACTTAAGGACTAATTAGGAGAAAGGAAACACAAGATGGAAGTGGCAGGGCCCTTGGAAATTAGCCAGGCAGGTAAAACATGGTTAGGTCAAAATAAATTACAGGGCAGAGAACATGATTTTTTTTTTTTTAAGTCCAGGTAGCTACTGATTGTGACTAGTAGAACGAGTATTTCTCTAAGTTAAAGAAAGCAGAGTTATTTTTCATGTGAAAACATTTAAAACTGCCTTCCATGTTGCATGAGCAGAAGAGAGCTCACCCGCTACCATACTTTAGATTGCAGCAAGTTACAGGCAAGGATGTCACACGTGATGGCTGAAGGCGCATTATCTTCCTTCTACCCCATTCCTCGCCCCCAGCCGACCCGGCTGTCCTGGGTCCGCGATGCCCACCTGGGTCCAAGACGCCTGTGGAAGGAGTCGTCCTGCAGCAGCCTGAGAGGCCCCCAGCCTGCAGCTCCTCTGTCCCTCGGCCTCCCACAGTTCACCCAGGAAAATGCACCCCAATCCCACCTGATGATTCCACCCGGACGACCTTTTCACATGCATCCTCCTCTCCTCCGAATCTTGTCAAGTTATCTTCGTGGACGTGCATCATACTCTCCCATTTATGAGTTTGCAAATTACTGTAATCACAGCTGGTGAATCACATGCAGCAAGAAGACATTTTGATTCAAAATTAACCCAATCTCTAAGGCCTGCAGCTCCAATCTCCTCCCAATGGCCATCACCTTCCTCTCACTGTTAAACCAACTGTACTTAATGAAGACCAATAATATTTTTAATATTACTATTTTCCCCAATTACTACTATTCTAACAGCGTGGTTTTCTACTACTCCTTGTTGCAAATATATAATATTTTAATGTCACTAGAGGTTATATAGATTGGCCTGGAAACCTAACCAAAATTTATAATACTACTGCTATAGCAAAATGTATTCTAAATGAATTTTATGAATTACAATCCCAAACAAACCCCAAACAAACATAAAACCATAAAAGGAACCCCTCTAAGGTTAGTCTGCTCCCTACCCTACTGTTTACACAGTAAACATTCAATATACAGAAAAACAAAGCAAACCAAAGAGGCTCACCAAATTTAATTCCAGATGGCATCTCTCTGCTGTCACCAGGCACCTGGTCCAAATGTAATATTATCCTTAGCAGAGTGCGATGATGATGCAGATAAAGTCCTAATGTATTCCAACGCCAAATACTTATAAATGTTTTTGAATTTTCCATTTCACTATTTCATTAAGGCAAAAGGCTGAGAACTGGCTGTATTATAAGAAAGCATTTTTACATTTTGAAGGAAGAAAATGAATATTCATAGCATTTGCATTTAGGTACAAATGCAAAAAGCTTGCGTCTACAGAGAATGTAATGAAGTTGCCCCAGGAAGGGAGGGAGAGGCAGGGAGAGAGGGAGGGAGAAGGAGGGGGAGAAGAGGAGAGAGAGGGAGCTCTGTTCAGACACCAAGTATTTATCGTAGCTCCCAATGTTATGCATAATTTGTATTCTCTCTCAGGCAAGCAATTTAAAACATTTTATTCAGTCTATTAACAAATTAACATGACCGAAATGGAACTCATTATCTTTACTCCAAATCGGCTCTTTTAAGGTTTGGCGGCATCACCATCCACCCCATCCCCTCTCACCCCATCCCATCAATGGCCAATCCATTTGATTCTGCTCGTTTTCCTCTTTCAGCCCTCCCTCCCTGCCCCCAACCCCAGTCTAGACTGCTACCACCACCTCTCTGGTGGCTACCAAGAGAGCCTCTTAACTGGTTTTCCTGCCTCTGGTCTCGCCTCCCTCTAATTCATTAGCCACCCTGAAACAAAAATTATCTTTCAAATATGCAAATCCGAGCACACTTCACCCGGCTAAGACCTCTTCAAAATTCCCCATTGCTCTCAGGGTCAAGGCCAAACTCCTTACCCTGACTCAGCGGTTCTGCTCACCCTGCCCTCTTCACTTCCTGTACCTTCCTGGTTGTGTTCCCTGTCCAATCATACTAAGCACCTGTCATTACTCACCTGGAACTTGCTTGCTTTCCAGAACAGGTACACACGATTCTCTCTAGGTCTCAGGCCCCAGCTTGAGCTGAAAGCTTCCCTGACCCTTAGGATGGGTTAAAGGTTCTTATAAGATTCCACAGTAAACATCCTGTTCTTCCTCTATCTCAGCCCCATCACTTTCTTTCGTAAGTGCCTGCCTCGCCCTTCTAGACCAACCGCAGCACAGCCGCAGCATCAGTCCTTTTCCTAGTCCATCCTTAGTGACTAGCACTGTACCTGGGACACAGCACATGTCCAAGAAATACTTGTTGAATGAACACATTTATGAAGACACTCTCGCCCTCCACATTCCACATTCCCCATTATTTCACAGTGAAAACACTCAGAAACAGTATCTTAAGTATCTAGGGAAGCGAGTTACAACTTTCAGCTCACTAAGCAGCCACCATACTTTGTTTCAAAACACCCTGGTGTGTCATTGTCAGAACTGTCAACAAAATTGAGAAAGGCTTGGTCCCATTTGTATGTCTAGATCAGAGAAGGAGTCAATGGAATATGGGGACCCCTCCCCCAAACCTGTGTCAAACAGCAGCCTATAATTAAAAGAAAATTAAATTTAACCTATCATTTCAAAAAGCATATGTCACCTAAATCCTGGTAACTCAAGAAAACACACACACACACAACACACAACCAAGGAAATCCAGCCTTAAATGTCTTTTCTCCAAAGTCCTCCCAAAAAGCAGCAACAGTATTGCTAAGAAACATGCTGTGAAATCCAAGTGTTTTCCAGCATCTGCCCTCAAACACGCTTCGGCTTGCCCCTCACCCAGCTGGCTCTAGTTTAAGAAATCCTCCTCATGATGCCAGTCATCGAACCAATGCAAAGCAAGAAAAATCAGCTAGTCAAAAATGCAAAAAAATAAACAAGTGTAGCACCAGCATACCAGGCTCAAAGTCTTAGCAATACCTATGTGTAGGTACCCTTACCTATGTGTAGCACTTCAGACTTTTCAAAGCACTTTTGTGTCCAGTCTCTGCTTGGTTTATAACCTCCAAAAGAAGGTACGTAAACCCTTTATCCCCATTTGACAGTTGGGAAAGCTGAAGCTCAGAGAGGTCAAGTTCTTTGCTCAAGGTCACAGGGGCAGTGGGTACAGGGATGGAGGTCGAATCCAGGGGTCCTGACTGTCAGGAGTGGGTGTTCTTTCTCTCAACCATGCTGTGGTCAGCTTGCAGCCCTGCTAGAAAGTACTGTGGCAGAGGCAGTTGGGGAGCAGAGCGGAATCCACAGGAACTCAGTGCTCCTCTGAATGAGCTCGAACCATTGCCCCCTCCCTCGGCTCTTGTACCTTTTTCTCCAAGGTGGACTCCAGGTTGAATGGAAGAAGTATGGTCAGCATGGTAGAAAAGAGAATATTTTCTCCTCCAGTTCCCCTAAATATCACTAGCTTTATATTTCCCTAGAACACAGTCAACACCAAATATCCTCCTATGAGACTCTAAGCAGGCCTTCAGTGAGAGGATCCTGGGGCACCACTGAGAGGCCAAGTGATGTGTCACAGCTATTTAATCTATTCATCTTTAAAGTGAGGAAGGTGACCTCCCCCCCTTACCGTGCATGCCCGGTGCCTAGGGCAGGGCCTGGCACCTAGGAGGCTCAGTACATTTTTTCTTCTCTTCCACATGTTCACCCAGGAAGTTGTGGGAAGCAAAACTTCTTGAGCATCATTAAACTCACTGAAAAAGGGCACTTTGCCTTGAAATCTGCAAGGACAGGTATCTTCCCAGATATATGCAAGAAAAACCAATACAATCCTTTTGTTCCTTGCACTTATGCCTAACCCCACAAGGGGTATGTATTTGGTTCCAAACATGTGTTAATTGAAAAGAATGAAAATCTTGAAACAGGTTGGGGTTTTTTTTGCTGAGGAAGATTGCCCTGAGCTAACATCTATGCTAATCTTCCTCCATTTTTTTTTTGCATGTGGGACACCTCCACAGCATAGCTGGTGAGCACAGTAGGTCCACGCCTGGGATCTGAACCCATGAATCCAGGCCACGGAAGTGGAGCACAAAGGACTTTAACCACTTGGCAGTTTTAAAGTATTACATTATGAAAAACTGATCTCTCAGCATTAAAAAAAAAATGGTTTTAATAAAAGAAATCACTTGAAGGAGTTCAGTACCCTGTGGCTTTGAGAGAACTAGATGCAGAAGCCCAGTGGCAGAAGTCAGTGGACAGTGAAACAGCAAGGAGAGAGGGAACGCCCCCGGGGCCAGGCACACAGGCACCTCGACACAGTGCGAGCAGGGTAAACTGGAACAACTTTCTACAGAAGCGGAGGCCCACACAGCAGAAAAAGCGCGCATGTGCGAAAATATTTCTAGTATTAACCCAAAGAGATAATCAGATGTGTACAAAGATTTCTGTACAAAAATGTTTCAGAGCCTTATTAATAATAGACTGAAACAGAAACAGCCTGAACACCTAACTACAGAGGAGTCAATAAATTATGGTACATCGGTGTGAGAGAGTGCTGAGAACCCAGTAATCGTCACGTTTTAGATGAATGCTTAAAATCAAGGAAATTGCCGATGATATAAAATGGAAAGAGGTTACAATTTTGTTTTAAAATAAATGCACAGAAAAGAGGTGAGGAGAACACGCACTAAAAGAAAATACCATCATAATCTCTAGGTAGTGGGTTTGCATACAATTCTTATTTTCTTCTTGATACTTTGATTTTCCTTCTTTTTACAATGAACATTTACAACTAGAATAAAATTAATAAATATTTTTTAAAAAGAAAGATCCTCTCCAAAAGCCACCGGCTTTCTCAGTAGCTTATGCGTTAATTAAAAATTTTATTTGGTAAAATATACATAACATAAAATTTATCATTTTTACCCTTTTAAGGTACATAGTTCAGTGGCATTAAGTACCTATACATTGCTGTGCAACCACCACCACCATCTCCAGACCTTTGTCACCCCAAACTGAAACTCTGTACCCACTAAACAATTTCCCATTTCTCCCTCTCCATAAACCCTGGCAACCAATATCCTACCTTCTGCCTCTATGAATTTGACTATTCTAGGTACCTCATATAAGCGGAATCATACAATAGTTGCCCTTTTATGTCTGACTTACTTCACTTAGCATAATGTCTTCAAGGTTCATCTATGCTGTCCCATACAACATAATTTCATTGCTTTTTAACGCTGTATAATAATCCATGGTATGTATATACCACATTTTGTTTTATGATGTTAGTGTTTTAAGCAGACTTTAATTTTTAAGCATGTCTGAACATCCAAATCATCAGCAGTTCATATAATTGAAGGATGAATATCATTAGAAGAGTTAAAAACACCAAATAGTACAAACTAAGGGAAAAAGTTATTTTACACAGAAAGCCAAACCCTCCACCCACTTAAAATCCACATGTTGAGTCATATTTTGCAAGAGGAAAGAATAACAGTGCTATGCACTGTCATAACAAGGAATGGCCCCAAACTCAGTTAGCTGAGACCCAACACATGTGTGTCATTTTGCATGAGCAACTAAAAAGGCTTGCCACAGCAAGCAGAATAGTGGTTACCTCTTGGAAGGGGCACCAGGGAACCTTCTGGGCTGATGGAAATGTTTCATATCTTGATTGGGGTGGGTGGGTTACACACAGGTATGCATCTGTCATTTGTCCAAACTCAGGGACCTGTACGTGTAAGATCTGTACATTCCACTGTATGTAAATTATACCTTGATTTTTAAAAAGGAATTAAAAACAGGCCCACTAGCACCCCTCTGAAAGAAGACATGTTAAGCCTAAAAGGAATTGGAGTAAATAAGAATATTAGAGAAATAAGAATATTAGAGGAATGAGGGTGGTTCTGCACCTCAACTACTGATGCTCAGTCCACTGCTTTAGGGCCCTCCGGTGGGTCTCCACGGTCCCTGGAACGAAGTCCAAGCTCCCTTCTCTTTGCTGTGGGAACACTGGTTTGTCTAAGCCTGGTAAACACATGGTGGACTAACAACCGACAGTGTCAGCTGGGGAACCTGCTCAGGGTTGGTAAACAGCCCAACAGGTGTGAGGCCCAGGTGGGGTAACACCGAAAGGTGTGCGCCTCTGTGTGGGAGTAGAAAGGAGGTACACCCTCACTGCAGCCTCCAGGGGCTGCAATGCAGCATCTGGAAAGGGAGCGGTTATGAACCACAACCCAAGAAAAAATGAGGTCTCCGAGAGCACCAGGCAACCACATTCGCTGTGAAGCTGCCTTCGATTCCCTGATTTCGGATCAAGCTGGCAGCAATGTGTCTTTCCAGCTGCTTCGGCGCTGGACTTGGCTAGAATCATGAAGAGGTGAAAGTTACCTCTTTCTTAAGTGTGGTTATTTGTTAACCGTCCTTTGCGCAGTTTGTCTTTATAAAACGTCAAGTTTAGGCCACACATCGTGGGAGGCCTCGGCGTCCCAGCCACGGTAATTTCCTGCCAGACCATTTAAAGCTCTCAGACATCAATTTTTTTTGTAATCTGCTATTTTAGATTCTCCACACTACCATTCCCCTCTATTAAAATGCATAACCCAGTGGCCAACAGATCTCTGGGCTGTTTATGGAGCATTCAAGAGCACACAAACTTCTTATCGTACTAAAAGCAGCTTTGAAAACAAAACACCACACCTAAGCCAAAATGGCAAATTAGATAATGACAGTCTGACACTCAAATACTTCCTTAGACTTAATGTGACACTTTTAAAAAACTGAACAGGAACTCTCAAAGGCTTATTGATGTGGACTCAGTATCATTTAGTTAGGATAATAACCAGAGCGACCAGCTCTCACAGGACCACTGAAGCAAGGCAGTCCTCTTTGGGTCTTCTAGAAACTAAGCTACCTTCACTTCTCACATCCGGTGAAGATTACAGCCGCAAAGCCAACACTGGCCCCTTCCTGTTCTTGGCTCATTTCGCTCCCTCGAAAAAGTCTCATTCACCTGCTGGTAGACATCCTGCTTTTCAGCCATTTAATTCCAACTAAATGTTCTGAGGAGACTCACCTTTCAAGTCACCTTTGAGGGTCTTATCCAGGAATTCCCACTTTCATTTTTAATTTCCTCCCAGCCTGGAGTCGGAGGTCCCCACTGCCAGCTGCAGTCTCCATCCAGGTGGGATGACGACGCACGAACTGCAGACACCGATGAGGCACAGGAAGAACGCTGGTAAACGGGATGCCTCTCGCCTCCTTATGCTCCAGGATAAGGACCACATACACACACAGCCCCTCCTCCACCCCTGAGGTTGGGGACCCTGATGCTGACCCACGTTAGTAAGAGGACTGCCGATTCATACTGACAAACCCATCTGTACAGAAAGGCAATCCTCTAACAGTGCCAGAAGTGTCCGACTCACGGAAAGCCTCACCAATCTTGCGATACCAAAATATCATTAACAAGTCTAAAAACCAGCTAGGACCTGTGAGCTAACTTAAACCAAAATGTAGTCCCCCAAATGGAGATGAAGCTGGTCCATATATCCCTAGTGACCCTGTGGCATTTCCTGAACCAGATGTACCAGCTGTATTTTGACAACTCTTTACCTAGGGGAATAAATAATTTTTGCCTTGACAAATAACCAAGTTAGTCCCCTTCCTAGGATAGATTCTGGAAACATTTTTAGCATGAAGAAGCAACCACATGGGAGAACCAGTAAGTTGTGATGTACAAGATCTTCTAATTGTACTGAGATTATTAGATGTTGTCTTTGAAACTGTAAGCTCATCTATTCTTATAGCATTGTGAGTGGTATCTGATTGTTGGAATAGGAGCCGAATGATCCCAAAGCCATGGAATAGCAAAGACAAAGAACCAAAACCTTGGGGCCAGCCCAGTGGCACAGAAGGTAAGTTCACACACTCCACTTCCGCGGCTCGGGGTTCGCCGGTTTAGATCCCGGGTGTGGACATGGCACTGCCTGGCAAACCATGCTGTGGCAGGTGTCCCACATATAAAGCAGAGGAAGATGGGCATGAATGTTAGCTCAGGGTCAATCTTCCTCAGGAAAAAAAAAAAAAAAAAGAGGAGGATTGGCAGCAGACGTTAGCTCAGGGCTAATCTTCCTTAAAAAGAAAAATAAATAAATTCTAAAAAACCCCCCAAACCCCCACAAAACCTGGGTTTGCATGGCTTGATATGACGTCTGCTAATTTACCTATCTTGTGACTCTGACTTCATTTTTGCAGGTGGGTGCTATCCACTCTGAGCATTTAGAGAGATGGAGACAGGGCTACAACCCCCAGATGAGAACTACGTCTAAAGAATTTGCTGTTTCATCACCATGACCACAGACTTACTGCTCTACCGCAATTACTGAGCACCTCACCATGTGTTATCATAAACAGCACTGTGCAATTAGACATTTTGCTCTGTGCAGCTCTGATTGCAAAAGTGTTTCATGCATGTTTTCTTAACCAGGATCCAAGCAATTTGAGAGCAGGGGCCGTGTCAAATATGGCAAAGCATCCTTGTTCAAAGGTCACTTACCTGACATTGACTCTAGAATCTCTGGAACAGAAACGAAATCAGAACAGGGCAGGAAAGCAGGTATTACAGAGCGTGTATGGTTTTTCGCAAAGGAGGCCTCCAAAATGATTTATTCTTCATTTTTTCATGGAATTCTACCAAATTTTAGTTTCCAGGACCCAGAGCAGATTCAAAGTGGAAAAGTAAAAAGCAAGTACTCAGCATGTATTAGCTATTTTTATTAATTATTATTTTATTATTTTTATTATTTTTGTGTGTTTTTTGAGGAAGATTAGCCCTGAGCTAACTGCTGCCAATCCTCCTCTTTTTTCCGAGGAAGACTAGCCCTGAGCTAACATCCGTGCCCATTTTCCTCCACTTTATATGTGGGACGCCTACCACAGTATGGCGTGCCAAGCGGTGCCATGTCCACAC